ATTGGAATCACAGACTGGTCAAAGCCTTTTGTCCTGAAGAGTTTTGCTGTTAATATATCTTCCAGTCTCGATCATAAGTTTATGATTTCTTACGCGTAGTTTTACCGAATGTTACCAAAGCCTTTCTATCGATTGTTTTGCTAGTTGGGTTTAAATAACTTGAAATTTCATAACAATGTTTACACCTATTATAAAACTCTAATTTCCTCGTATAATCAGTAACTAAATACCGTCAATCGAGTAATATACTTCTGTTTCATTATATCTTTATATCTTGATATTTTGGTTTTATCTAAATTGTTGGGAACAAAATGCGGTAGGCTATAAGATTTGGAGATTTCTGAAATCTTACCGTAAAAACTAGTATTACCATTACAAAGAAGATTTAAGGATACAAGTAATTCTTAATTGACAATAGAGTCTTCATCCTTCTCGAAAAGATACATAATGTAGTTAAGAATTTTTTTAATGGAAATCTACCTGATTCACCTATACATGCAATCAGATGGGCGATAAGTAAATAACCGGATAAGGGCGTCCAGCCTCACACTAAGCTAGGTAGCTACTACATCATTTCTACGTTATAAATCAAGCCGACTTCCTGAAGTATGCCATAATTTGAGAACTTTTGGCTTAAAGCGCCTGCGATGACGTATGTTGAACCGGCACGCATGCGTATGCGTTGTCTCTAAATGACACCAGGCGTAGATAAAACGGGAGGAAACTTAGGAGAGGAAGACCGCCACCGCCCCCTTTTTCCGTCCAGATCACCCGCTCATATTTGCGCGTGTCTTTCACTGAGGCGTCATCCTTACTGTCTGCGAGCCGGCTTTAACAGGCAAGGACGGCGACGTTGGCGAGAACGTTTCTCAAAAAGTGAATTCATGCTGTTTCAAAATTCGTCGCTCTTATTCCATAGCGTTCAGTTTGTCAAATGGTGGTAAATTATTCTAAGGGACTGTATCTAAGTTTAACTAGACTGAAAGGATTAGAAAGTCGTTAGTTGTCTTGTCTTCCAGAAAACGTAAAATTGCTAGGACGTTTCACGTCGCAGTCGTGAACGGCGGCAAAGAAATGTGCAAAACAGCGTGATGCACGTTCCAGTTTTTTTCTGCTAATCTAAGCCTAATTCTTTTTTGCCGTTATCATTGCCGTCGTCATTGTTGTTGCAATTTAGCTCCCTACTTCCTTCTGTAACCGCCATCTTTGTTATGACGGAGGAGGATTAGGGAGGCTGCAGGCTACCGTTTTCACTTCTAGCACTTAGTTTGCGAATATCATTTACAATTTATCATCGGTTCCTTTATTTACACGGAAAAAGACGTTCAGCCGAGATATTTGCACAGTCCTTAGTTTTAGACCGCCATTTTAGTTGTGCGTGAATTCCGATAAGGTTTTCATGTTGGCGAAAAAATCCGTTTTAATCCCGGGCGTAATCTTACTCACTTAGTTCCGGATATATTAGTGCCACGCTATTCTTTCGTTGACTAAGCTCAGATGTGCTGCATGTTTGCACGGGCACTGTGTAAGGGCGTATATAAAGAAACCGCGTATTTTAACAAGAATTTAGTCAGTCGTTCGCGGTTCCAGTAAACCCCATTGACTTTTGTTCTAAAATTGACACTGTTTGTCGCAGCCTAAACAAAACTCAAGGGATTAGCAAAAAAATATTGTGAGAGCTTATCGATCTTTATTTCAAAAGAATAAAGTTAATTGAAAGTTAATTTTCATTCTCATTTAGCGTCATCTGAGTTTTTCAATTTTGCATTCGAATATTAGCATCGACTATCTACACTTAGGTTCCAAACTTTGCCGACTTCGCCGGGTTAAAACACACAGAACACACCTCTGAGCTCAGAGAGTTAATTAAAGCACGGCATAATGGATGATAATAGATCATGGTCATCATAATTTGAATCAGCTGTTGAATTCCGGTTTAAGTATTTAAGAAATGTTGTAGATTAGAACCATGATCATTCGATTTAAGTTCAGTTTAAGTCATAGATTGAAACGAATATGCATTCACACATCAAAGTTTTGTAGTTTTCCCTTTAAACCACTGCAGTCAGTAATTTGTGGCGAACGCTAGAATAGGATCGTATCGGGATCGTATCGTATAACCAGCTAATGCAGAACCATTTGCCGTATTCAGTGATTAAACATCTGTTTGTGGATGACCTTAGCTTGTTCTTCCGTATCTTATAAGGTATAAAACCATTTTGTAGTATCCCGAGGACATAAAATTTAAACTTAAAAAACTGTCACTTTCGTGTTAACATCATAAAGAAACGGGACGGGAATAAAATTTCTTTTGCTTTGTAGTTTAATGAAAACAAAAACAGCCAATGGAGTACAGTGGAACCCTCGGTTTACGGACACCCGCTTAATACGGACATCTCATCATTACGGACAGTTTACTTTGTCCCTGGGTAAAAAAAGCCCTTACATTTTCTCTACATTCCGGCAACCCACTGAATACGGACACCCCGTTAATACGAAAACTTTCTATGGCCTCCTCAGTCTCCGAATTAACGGGCTTTGACTGTACAGTCAGTTTGTTCTTTCATTAGGCTGGCACTTTACCTGAACTATTTTTTACGCAATCCAGTTGCAAAAATTATCACTGAGTAAAAATGACTTTGACTGAGAACATCGCGACAACTCCGTAAGACGTGCCGACTGTCCTAGCAAAAAACTTGACAGACTTCTGTGCTTGCCAACTCTCGCAGTTTCGAAAGACAGGCGGATTAGGCTCGTGACCTAGGTTTGACAAAAGTCATGCGGTTAAAATTATTTAAATTCTTCTCTTACGGTAACGATTATTAAGGACATTACAGACCATTAATAGAAAGGAAATCTTTGAGATTCATTTTAAAGGTTAAAAACTTCCAGATGACCCAGGCTTTAGCATCAATTCAGATCTGAGTACATTTGTACTTAGTAGTAGGTCGAGTTTTTTTTTCCTCGAACGATACAAGTTCTGTCATTTAAGGTTGCTTTCCATCGTTTCCTTTGAAAATCCTAGTTAATCTTTATTTGCTAAAGTATTTGTCGTCTTTATTTTCAGTGGGTAGACTAGAATTCCACCAATAAGCCAATTTTTAGAATAGACAAAAAAGCCGATATTAAAAACGGTAGGTTTAACTAATCCAATATTCGGCGAATACTTTAACTCAAACCTTGTCATTCAAATGTATTTTCTTCTCTACTCCTGTTGCTTTTATTGCTATTTTCTTTACGGTTATGATAACAGAGAACAAAGCACTGAGCACTAAGAGAATGCTTGCTAGGACGTAACGATCACGCTAGTAAAGTTAGCCAACGGTCAAGGCGTTCTGTGATATTTATAGAGAAATTAAAGTCCCGAGGCCATTGCAATTTGCCAACATAAATTAAGTTCATCTAAAAACGACAGTACCAGTGACAGGTCCTTGTCTCGTGGCAGGCTTATGTTGGCGATTATATCTGTTATGGGAACCTAAAATATTTCCCCGCACAAACGAAGGCCAGCTGAACAAATTCAGGAAGAAACCGTTTTTCGTGCTCTGTTTCACCGCTTGTAAAAACAAAACTGGTAATAATATCATAAAGAACGGTGAAGGGAAACTCTGGTTTGATCATGAACGTTCATAATTAAATAAGTTTCGTCTCTCCTGGGGCTTTTTATTTTCAAAATTGCGGTCGTTTTATTCATAATTTATTGCCCGCCACAAGAATGTATTTTTATCTGGGAATGGATCACAAAAATCATTTCATTGAAATGGTCGAATTTTAAGGGTAAAATCACTTGTTCGATCGGCAAACTGAAAAATAAACATGGATGAGCCAGTTTCTAACTGGCATGCTCTCTTAAGATTTTTAGTTTCTCAGTGGTTACGGGAGAAGAACAAAAAACTTGTCTGTTGTTGTCACCCGCGGTTTCTTTTTGTGAAAATATTTTCATAACAAAGACAAGCATTTGGACGGTGCTGGTTTATTGTCGCGACCGCATATGGATTACAACAGCTAGATTACTCAGACAAAAAACCCTGCCACTGAAAAACGTCAAAAACTAACATTGCCAAAATAATTGTTTTCCATGCTGACGCTTTTCATTAAAATGCTGCGACATTTTTTCTTTTAATTCACTGTTGCCAAGGAAGCACTAATGACAAATTTCAAAGTCGCGCCTCGATGTATTATTGTCGATTCTTCGTAGCTTTTCGTTCATGATGCATAGATTGAAATTTAGTGAAACGCCAGTTATAAATTTACCAATGTTAAAATTTTACTATTATAAAACAAATCGTGTGTTAGATGCGAATTAAGTGTGAGCTTGCGAAACAAAAGTTAAAAGGCTACAAGCTATAAATCATTGTGTTTCCCTAAATACATTCAAAAAGTTTTATTTAACTTCAACTTGTTATAAATATCTTATTCATTGTCCTTTCAATACAGCTTTTTAAGGAAGCGATGCAGTTTTAATCCATTAAATCAAGATCATAAATGACATCTCGAAATCAGATATAACGTGGATGCTCATACATTTTATTTGAGCGAATAAATATTTTGAATACACTGTTGCATTTTGTAAGTTTATTTTAGCTGATAGCGCTTAATCTAAGAACTCACGCAAGAAACATCAGCGGTGTTTAGATAAGAGACGATAACAATGTTAAAAAAAAAACACCATATGTCGTAAAATTTGACAGGAATTACTGGAAGTTTTTTTGGTTTATGAGCGAGCAATTGAAAGCAGAGAATTATATGTTAAATTTTGGTTATGCTTGATTTTTGGGTGGTCGCAGTCAGTTTCACAACCCGCAAGCCATTTCAGAATTGCAAAAGACTGATATTTGAAAAGAAGGCTTTGTAAAGATAATTAACCGGAGGCGATTTACTTAATGAGGAGCTTCCTAGCCGGCAAGGAAAACACGCTTGAGCGAATAAACACTCGGTGCCTCATCCGGGATTCTCTAACAAAGGAAACCGCAATCCACAGAGCGCGATAAAAGGTTTGT